TGATAAACACATGAGATTTCACACAGGTGAAAAGCCTTTTGAATGTCTGTCCTGTGGAAAAAGCTTCACTCAGAAATCTAATCTTGATACACACATGAGATTTCACACAGGTGAGAAGCCTTTTGAATGTCTGTCCTGTGGAAAAAGCTTCACTCAGAAATCTGATCTTGATAAACACATGAGAATTCACACAGGTGAGAAGCCTTTTGAATGTCTGTCCTGTGGAAAAAGCTTCACTAAGAAATCTAATCTTGATAAACACATGAGAATTCACACAGGTGAGAAACCTTTTGAATGTCTGTCCTGTGGAAAAAGCTTCACTAAGAAATCTAATTTTGATACACACATCAGAATTCACAAAGGTGAGAAGCCTTTTTCTTGTACCAGTTGTAGCAAGAATTTTACTAATAAAAGTAATTTGACTAGACACATGAGAATTCACACAGGTTAAAAGCTGATTTCCTCAATGATTTGTGACCAAGGTTTTAAACAAGAACGTAATTTGAGTGTCCAGATGACACTTATTCATACATGATGTGAAATGACATAAAAAAACATCTGTTTCACGTAACTCGCAGCAGTTGGACGCAACAGGAATGAACCGTAGAGGTGTTTTCCATGTTTGACGGGTGATAAAATGTCCATCTAGTAACTCCTTCACCTCATTAAATGTGAAACGTACAGGTTAATGGTCTTTTGAGCAAAGTTTTGAGAAAGCCATTAACTAACAGGTCTGTTTACATAGAAACTAGAACAGATAAGGTGTTATATTGTAACCCTATTAAATATTCAGGTCCTGGGCCAATATGTGGATGTGAAAATTTGAAAGTCAATTAATGCAACAAGCAATTGAGAAGTTATAGCTGTTTAAATTGGAGGAAAAAATCAAGATGAACCCCTACTGTGCCATTTTGGCATGGTGTTGCAAGACTTTTTCTGGATGAATTTATTCAGAAGAAAAACACAGAAGTTTCATTTTACTTTTAGCTGGATGATAAGCTATCAGTTGGATATATTCCTGAAACAGAATTTTATTCAGATGAATATAAAAGCAAAGGTACGGCAGATTTCATATGTCTTGCACAAATTTGCTAATGTTGTGGGATTTTTTTTTAAGAGGTCAACTGCAACTGATCCGAGTTTTGGTAATTCAGTATTTTGTTGGCTTTCATTTTTTTATTTTTATAATGCCAATTCACAACACATATCACCTCAAGGCAGTTTACCGTTCACCAGATCATACAGTCATACGCCGTACACAAATTTGCTCCTCCCACCACAAAGGAGGACCAGGCACCTGGACCTGGTACTTGACCCCTAAAGTTGAAATGGGAAGGGGAGAGACTCCAACACAACTCAATCTTCCCGGTCCTTGCAACGGTCTCAGCCCCCCATCCCCCACCCGGATGAGAAGGCCCATGGGACAGGCCCCCATAAGACAGTGCCAGCCGAACCAGCCTCAGTGTGAGCGGCCATAATCCGAGGCCAACTGGGTTTCAAGCAGTATACAGCAGTAAACTATTTTCCACACTAGTTAGCATTCCCGTAGGTCTCTGGAGCATGGTTGTCTCTCCAGTTTCCTAGCATTTTGCTTCAGAGTGTGCAGCTCTGCATTAAACCAAGGAGCCAGCTTTCTATTTTAAAGTTTTTCTTTTTCAAAGGGGCTGCTTTGTCTAAGGCAGTACACAGAGAACTAGCAACCCTATCAACAAAATCAACCTATGAAGGGGAATAAGCTAAGCTTTTGCACTCTGCAGCACTGCTCAGCAAAACAGAAGAGAGAGAAAGTAAAACAGATCCTCTAAAATTTATAACTGCACTATCTGATAAAGATCTGCTAAAGTGAAAACTTTTGGGGGAGGAGAACTCTGTTAAAGTAATCTTTAAGGTGATTAAAAAATGTTGAGAAGGCAGGGCTGTGAGAAAATATTATTTCTTCACATTCTATGCCATATGTCCGAACTGTCATGAATTTCTTAAGAGATCTAACCCACATGCAGTAAACCACTCAAAGAACCAGGGTAAAATTTTTAACAGGTTTATTGATAAGGACAGCGGGGGTTGGATTCAGAAAACTCAGTGTGCTGGAGAACCAGAACTGGAAGAGGGAAGGGAAGTATTGTGGAAGCTCATTGGTAGAATTCTCTTATGATAGAAAGAAGGCTGACGATTCACTCCATTGTCTCCGGAGGGGGGAAACATTTATTTACAAAACCGAATTCATACAGCTGTCTTAAACACTTCATACTTCCAGCGCTATGTCCTCACATCTG